CCATACCTAAAACAAAAGCAAACTAAGCAAACAAAGAGAACAGGAGCGGAACCACAGAAATGGAGATCACATGGAGGGTTAACAACAGGGAATTGGGAGGAGGAGAGAGGGGGAAAAGATATAGAGAATAAGTAGCATGGACAATAGGTAGAAAATAGACAGGGGGAGGGCAGGAATGGTGTGGGAAATGTAGAAGCTAAAGAACTTATGACACATGGGCATAAACTAAAGGGGGGGAATGTGGGTGGGAGGATGTGGGCAGGGGGAGGGGAGTGAAGGGGGAAAATGGGACAACTGTAATAGCATAATGAGTAAAATATATTTAAAAAATCATAAGAGAAACTCAATAGCACATTTTAGCAAGCAAAACAAGGAATCAGTGAACTTGAAAATGAAGAACAGAAAAAAGAAGACTTTCAAAATGAAAACAGCCTAAGACACATATTTGACATCACCATGCATGCCAATATAAACATAAGAGGGCTTCCAAGGTAGAAAAGAAATAGAAATAAGCAGAAAGAATATTTAAAAATTAATGATACAAATATCCAAAATTTGATAAAAAATATTCATCTACAAACCCAAGATGTGCAACAAACTCCATATAGGGTAAACGGAAAAAGATTTGTCATCAACACCACATAATAATACTCCCTAAATCCAAGGATGAAAATAATATTAACAGCAGTAAGTAATGCACCATGGGCAAGGCACTCCCAGTAGGATTAAAAGCTTATTACACATCTGAATTTATGGAGGCCACATGTAGTGAAATGACCCATTTGAATATACTCCCAGCAATGAAAAGCAAAGGCCTGCAACCAAAACTACTTTATCTAGCAAGGCTCTCAATTACATGTTTCAATGAAACATGAAATAAAGAGCTTCCTGGACAAGAGAAGGGTAAAAAAATACACCTCCACCAAACCAGCATTGCAAGATATGCTAAAGGGACTGCGTTAAGAAGAGGAAGGAAAAGAGTGAAAGAGACAGGAACACAGGTACAAAGGGAGTAAAATGGCAATGAATAAATACCTATCAATAATAACCTTAAATGTAAATAGATTAAATGCTCCAATCAAAAGATATAGAGTAGTTGAATGGATAAGAAAACATGATGTGCACATATACTGCCTACAAGAGACCCACCTCAGAACAAAACACCTACACAGACTAAAAGTGAAATGTTGGTAAAAATTTTCAAGCAAAAGAATAGGAAAAAAATTTGGGTAGCGATACTTCTATTTGACAAAATAGACTTCAAAACAAAGACCATAATAAGAGACACAGAAGGATACTTCATAATACTCAAAGGAAGAATCCATCAAGACATAAATATTATAAATATATATGCACCCAAAATAGGATTACCCAAATATATAAGGAAACTCTTAGAGAACTTCAAGAAAGATATAGACAACAACACACTTATAGTAGGGGATTTTAACACCCCACTGTCAAAAATGTATAGATCTTCCAAACAAAATATCGACAAGAATACTGTGGAACTGAACGACACATCAGATCAAATGGACTTAACTGATATACATAGAATCTTTTATCCTCCCAAAGCAAAATACACATTCTCTTTAAATGCACATGGAACAGTTTCAAAGACAGGCCACATAATAGCACACAAAACCACCTCAACAAATTCAAGAAAATTGAAATCATATCAACCATTTTCTCAAACCACAAAGGCTTGAATCTGGAAACCAACCTTTAGGAAAAAAATTCAAAAATATTCAAACTCATGGACTGAATAGCATGCTGTTAAACAAAGAATGGCTTAATACTAAGATCAAGGAAGAAATCTAAAAGTCTAGAAACAAGTGAAAATCAACACAAAACAACCCAAAAGTTATGAGACCCAGTGAAGGCAGTCTTGAGAGGGAAGTTCACAGCAATACAGGCTTACTTAGAAAAGACAGATGTAGTAGAAATGTTACAGAACAAACAAGGGGGGCCTGGGACGATACACTATTACTGAAAGAAGCCCCCAGGTTCGTTACATCCGCCGCCAGAGGAAAGACATCTTTCAGTGCCAGAGATTTGTGAAAAGTAAAGGAAATGTTTATTTAATGCTATACAGACTTAAAATAGTGACCTAATGTCTTCACCAAAATCCCAAAGTCCCTTAAAACACCCACAAACAGACACAGTCCTTCCTTCCTTCCCCCTTTGCCCAGTCCAGACTACCATATCTTCTAACGGTGCGGGGGTCCCCACTCTGGCAAAGGCACATGGTCCTCTCTCCCCGGGCCACGGGAGTCCCCACTCTGCCAGAGCTGCGTGGTTCGCCCTCCTCAATAGCTGTGATCCTCTCTGCACGGCCACAGCCACATGGTTCTCCCTCTCAGGGCTGCGGGAGTCTTCACTCTGCCAAGGCCGCATGGTTCTCTCCCTCAGAGCCGATCCTCTCTGCACTTCCACAGCCACGTAGTTCTCTCTCTCACCCAAGCCACATGGTCCCAACCAAGACACCAAAACCACGTGGTCCTAAACAGACGCGTGGTCCCCAAAAAATAAGAGAGATGTCCAGTCTCAAAGACAGACCCCCGATGGCTGCCTCGCTGGGTTTAAATCCCAGCACCAATCTTCCTCTGAAGCCCCATTTCCGGCTCCTCTCACAATTGGCTACAGCTGCCAGATTCTGGGCAGGTGTGGCCCTGTGGTGTGGAGCCAATTATCTCCAGGCTCTTCTGGATCATATTACAAATCCCTATTTGGGTCTCCCCTCTTGGCTGCACCCTGTTACAGAAAGACTAATCATAGCTAGCTGTGGAATATAATCAAACCAGTCTGACCCATTATTGTGGTAAAGAAAAGAATAAGTGTACATAAGACTAAAGAACTTGTAACTGAAATCCTTTAAAATTCAAAAGTATGTGAAAATATCTATCAGAAATTATGCTAACTGAAATAAGCCAGGTGGTGAAAGACAAATATCATATGATGTGACCTATAAGTGGAACCTAATCAATAAAACAAACAAGAAAATATAACCAGAGACATTGAAATAAAGAATAAACTGACAGTCCCTCTGATGACTGTCAGAGGAGGAGGCAGGGAGGCAGGAGGAGGCAGGGGAGGAGGCAGGGGGATAATAGGGGAAAGAAGGGGAAGGGTCATCAAGGAACATGTATAAAGGACCCATGGACAAAGCCAAAGGCAGATAGGATTGAGTGTGGGAGGTGGGGGTGCGTGAGGCAGGGGAAAGTGGTGGCAGGAAATTAGAGAAAAGTAGAATTTGAACAATAAAAAAATAAATAAAGTAAAATAATTACTTTATAGAAAATCTAACTAGGCAGGAACTCAGAAAACTTGTTTTGGGGAGTGCTCTGTCTTTATCCATTTTCTATTGTAAAAATAATTCTGTGTAATAAACCACCTTAAAACTCCCTCAGATAGAAAGTGGTTACCATGAAGTCAGGAGAGTGCTTGCTCACTTAACGTGAAAGGAGGGAAAGCAATTGAGAGGGGCACATAGAGGGCCAGAAAGAAGTCCCTTCAACATACACAGAATTTGAAAATTGATATTTTTCTGCTTCATTTCTTGGTCCTCCCCCTAAATACTCTTTTTCTCTTTTCTTTTCCATATACCACTCTAGTTATTATTTTTCATATGTTCCAGAATTTTCATGTTCTTATTTTAAGGGTGCAAACTATTTATATCCAACAGAATTACATAAGGAAAATGAACAATATTTTTATAGAAAAGTTCCCTGTTTCTGAAAACTTATTATATTGTCTTAATGTGTTTTGTTTTCTGTATAAAAAGTGGTATCCATGGTTCAGACAGCAAGAAAAAGAGAGGAAAACACATTGAGAGAGGAAATACAGGGAATGTGTAACTCCTGATGAGACTGAGTGGACTCAACACGGCACGGTCACATGGCAGTCACCACGCCTCACTTTTAACTTCAGTGAGATAAACAGGTGTAGGCACAGGTAGCCGGAGGGGAGAGGGGAGAGAGATAGAATAACAACTGGATATGAGCACTTTTAATTGACCCTTTACTAATTTGAAAGTCTTAACTGAAAAAATATTTTTTAATTTAATTCATTGTTTTAAAATTTTGTTAAATTATATTCCATATGGGCACTGTGAAAATAGAACAGGGAAGAAGGCAGACATGCTTTCTTCAGTTAAGAGTTTACGTTCTCATGGAGAGAGACAATGAACATTTAAACAAGTTAAATATGGAGAATTTTAAATAGCAATAAATACTAAGGAGAAAATAGAGTAGTAATGATGTATAAGGGAAGGAGAGTGGCAACATGAGACAGTTTGTGCAGGAAGGTCTCACTGGAAAGGTGAATAAAGACCTGAGAGGGTGAAGGGGAGAGTCACGTGAAAATACAGGGGAAGAGAATTCAGGTCAGAGAAAGAGTGAGCACAAAGCCAAAGCCGCCTGGAGTGTGCATGGCATAGGGAGGAGGTTGGTCTGGTTAAAACAGATAATCAAGTGGGTGCCAGATGAGGTCAGAGATGGAGTCCCAGGATGCCACTGATGAGCCCAATGGACCAACGTAAGTATCAGAGAGAAGGAAAGAGTTACCTTCAGGTCTAACAATGCAGGTGGGGCACAGAAAGTAACTGACTCTGAGGACAGAGTCCTGTCCTGAGTATGAACTGCACAACATTCTTGGGTCAAGGAGGTTGGAACCAGTACATAGAGTTTTGGGATAAAAGAGAAATCTACTGTGTAACAACCCTGGCTTGGTTTAACTGGCTTGGTTTCACTTGATATTTACTATCAAGTGTATATCCAGTCTCTCCCTCTTTCAGCACTGCATGGTCTCACTGGGGTTGACTGAAGAGAGAAACAAAAAGCATAAATCTAGTCTGCCATTTATCAATTACTCTTCCTGTGTCTATGTAATTATTTGTGCATGTATTAAAGTGAACGATTGCACAATTACAACTATAATGCTGTTTATGATTCTATGAAGTCCAGAGTCCAGAGGCTCTTTCCCTGTTCCTGGATTGAGTCCATATTCCACTTAGCAACAGAGCTCAGGAGTGAGAAACCTGGCTGCAGTGCTGGAAGCGTCTGTCTGACCCAGGGCTTTCTTCTGGGTACTGTAGTCTTCTCCCTCCACAGAAAGACATTTCAGAATCTTCCCAACGCATCTAAACACAGAGTTGGGAATTTCCTTTGTGCCACGAGTGACGGGTGTGAAACAGATTCCTCCCTGAGATGGAGACTATGGATCGCTGTAGGGATTTATTGATGAAGAGTGTTACTCATCTTGAAGGTGAGTTTTATTTTTGTTACTGCTGTTATTGTGTGTGTGTGTGTGTGTGTGTGTGTGTGTGTGTGTGTGTGAGCCTATGTATCTAGTGCCTCTAAGAAAAGTATCTGAGTCACAAACATAGAGCAGACCACAGGTACAAGGCCTGAAAGTTGGATCTGTGACTCTCTTAGGTCTGGTCAATTTAATTTTTATTTCTTCTCTTTCCCTAAGTATCTGTCCCCAAAAATTCTGAGCTAACTCCCTCTCTCTCATTAGAAATTCCTTTCTGTTCCACCTCGTTCTCTTCCTCACTTCCATTAGTGCACTATTATTTTAAGATACTATCTGTTTCCCTATATTTCTCCTTTTCCTGTTTGTAATGCTACTAATATCCTTTCTGCATATTCTAAATTTTGTTCTTCTCTCTACTGTAACCTCACAATTTAAACTCCTAAAGTGATCTCACTTCAATTCACCCTTTCCTATATATCATTAGAACAACATATGTTTAAAAAATATCAGCAGAAATTAGTAATAAGAATGCTATATACAGTCTAAAAGTTATGAAAAATGACCTTATAGAACTGAAACTAACTTTTCTACTGGCCACCCTGTGTAATAGTGAAATAAAAATGTATTTTAAGTATACATTGCTGCAGAATTCTAGGAGGATGCCAATATTCATGGTGAACACATTTCAATGTGCCATTAACTGGGCATTTTAAGAGTGCAGTAGAGATCCAACACATAGTGGCTATGGTTCTGACTTGTAGTAAGCCCTAGAAAAAATCATGTTTAATGTGACTGTGGGTAAGTTTTTTCACACTTTTTCTGTTTGAAAAAATAAACAATCAAATACTGTCCATAGAATGGTAAAGAATGGAAAAAGTTATTTTTGGTCATTGATGGGGTATCATTTAAGTTATCCTCACATAAGATTTACATTATGCTATAAAAATTGTTTCATGGAAGTATATGGCATTGGACTGCTTTGACCTTAACTTTAAAAATTTATTTGCTTTGAAATATTTAATGAACAACCTTTTGTTATTATTTCTGCAATACAATGGTTGGAATGAATATATAAGTTTCTCCTGTGTTTTCTTACATACAAGATCATAACTTACACAGTAGCATTCTTGCTACTGTTGGTTAATTTACTTACAATCTAAAATTATACAAATATAGCAGGAAAGAAAATATAGTTTGTCATGTACTCTTCCTTACTGATTATTATAAATCACTTTTGAAATTTGTCAATTTTTCTCACTGCTTACTTATTAAGATTTTATATATATGTCATATACATAATAATTCATGATAAAGTAATATTTAAGAGTAGAAAATATGAGGATAAAATAAGTGACAGAAGATAAAAATGTCAAATTACTATATCGTACACCTCAAATTAATATAACTAATATAATATTGTGGCTCTGGCTGGTGTGGTTCAGTGGACTGAGCCTGGCCTGTGAACCAGAAGGTTGCCTCTTTGAGTCTCAGTCAGGGCACATGCCTGGGCTGTGGGCCAGGTTCCCAGTTGGGGGTGTGCGGGAGGCAACCAATTATTGTATCTCTCACACATCAATATTTCTTTCCCACTCTTCCCCCCTTCCCCCTCTTTAAAAATAAATTTTAAAAAATTTTAAGAATATATAATACCATATACCAACCATATTTAGATTTAAAAAGTGACAGAATGAGAGTCATGGGCAGTAAGTGAAATAGGAAACTGTTATTATAAGGATAAATCAAGTTCTATTTTAAAAAGAATTGAGTGGGAGATGCCATATGTGCTATATAAAATGTTAGAACATTGATTGAAAAATGAGCAGCTGGGTTAACAATAAGTCACTGTTGTAGGACTTACCAGCACATTCACAGTGTAACATTGGGGGAGGGGGCAGGAAAGTGTAACTGCAGATGATAAATAAGACAAAGGCAAGTGATCCCATCAGTTTTGGGAGAAATAAGATTGGGAGCAAGACCAAAGGTAGTAACCCAGGACATGGCCATTAACCTAACAGGAAAGCTGGAACAAAACGTCCTGCTCAAACAGCACCAGCAGTGGTTGTGAAAGTAAACCCAGTTCTCTCCATCAGACATTTGGCTGAGAAATAGGTAAGGAATTGTTGGTCTCCAGCAAGAATAAAGATGAAAATATAAACAAAAATCAATGAGAATGTAACTGATTCATATTATAGCCAAATCAATTAAGAAGGCTACCTACATCTCAGTTATTTAGATTCTTAGATTTTATATTGTTTCTTTTAATTACCTTTCCTTTAAAAATAACCAATAATCTGAATGATCTATAAGATCACATTACCAGCAGAGGCATTTTCTATAAGACCTTTTAAAAAATGTGTAACATTTACATTAAGAATTTATGATTTTTCATGTAGACTTTTAAAAGTAAAAATTAGATTCATATGAAAAAGAATTTTTCTTATTTATTGTTAATTTCTCATATTCTTGCTTTTTGTCATAACATTTTATTCTCTTACATGTGATTCTGTCTCCACACAGTGATGCATTTATCTCACTAAACACCAGATTTTATCTTCTATGTATCATTTTAAAGCAATAACATACACTCATTTTAATTTTCAGAAAATCTATTGGAAAAGATAAGTGTATTTGTATTATTTTCTATACAAACATCTATTGGATTCTTAGCCAAATTTAAGTCTTCAGTTAACTCATCTCCTAACCTCTATTAATTTTCAGTTAGTTGTTTTATTTTTTTAATTTATGTATTTATTTATTTATTTTTAAAGGGAAAGAGGGAGAGAAACATTGATATGAGAGAGGAACATTGATCAGTTGCCTCTTTCACACCCCATCTGGGGACCAAACCCACAACCCAGGCATGTGTCCTGACCAGAATCGAACCAGTGAACTTTTGCTTTGTGGGACAATGCTCAACCAATTCAGCCACACTGGTCATGGCCACTTAGTTGTTTTAAATATTTAAGTGAAACATCTGTTTATAATCTCTTTCCTGATAATGACTATTGAAACTGTTTATTGCACTTCCAAATTTTAAATACTGTTTGTAAAATATCTCATTTACCTTGAAACCAATTTTGACGTTATTCTTCTTTACACCATTTAAACAATGAGCAAGGACGTGTCCCAACAAAAATGGTCTAAATTAGGAGGAGCAGCAAACATAGAAAGACAGGTTTATTCAAAGAAAGAAGTGAAACATAGGCACCAAATGCTTCTGAGAGCCCACAGAGTTTAATTCTGGGGTAAAATACAAATTAGAAAATACACATTAGCTTTTTAAAAATCTTTGGTGTCCTTACACAATGTACTCAAGGTCTCTGTTCCTCCAATTCATGGTTTAAGGGACTTCTGGTTCCAAAGATGTATCTGTATTAAATGAAATTCAGTATATAAGCACCTTGTTGTGTGTCTTTTTTATTTTTTATTATTTTTTATTTTTGATACTATTACAAATGCCTTCCTTTTCCCTCTCTTTGCACCCCTCCATGAGGCCCTGGTCCTCCCTGGCCTTGACCACGTTGTTGTCTGTGTCCATGGCTTTGCATACATGCATATATGTTCTTTGGCTAATCTTTACCTGTCCCCCACCCCATCCCCTTTCAGATCTGTCAATCCGATCCATGTGTCTATGCCTCTGATTTTATTTTGTTTTTCAGTTTATTTTGTTTATTAGATACCACATATAAGTAAGATAATATGGTACTTGTCTTTCTCTGACTGGCATATTTCCCTTAGCATAATATTCTCCAGATCCATCCATGCTGTCTCAAAGGCTAAGGATTCATTCTTTTTTACAGCTGCATAGAATTCCATTGTGTAAATGTACCACAGCTCTTTAATCCTCTCATCTACTGATGGACACTTGGGCTATTTCTAGACATTAGCTATTGTAAATAACACTGTGATGAACATGAGTGTGCCTGTATTCTTTCTGATTAGTTAACACAAGGTGATGAGAACGGCTTTGTGAAAACAATGGTATAAAAAATGGTGATGCCGAACTACAACCAGGATGAGCTAGAGCAGATTTGTCATTCTGTATTAAACAGAAAATTGACTTTCTGTTTACAACTTTAAAATTCAGAGTATGAAATGAGAATTTTATAGGGCATTCCACTTTGTCAAAAAAATGTTTAGATCAACATAATGATTTTTTAAAATTTTAAACAAATTTTTCAATGCTTTTGTTTGTAATCTGCTGAGGAACATCACAGCAAAGAGATTTCATATTTTTCCTGATGATATTTGTACGATTCTTAAATTATACTTTTCAAAACAATATAAAAATATATTAACATTTACCAGTTTGCAAGAAATGTCATCCCATGCTGAATCACTTTCTTTGAGATTCCCCTTGTTCTTTCAATTTCCTTCACATTCATTGTACACCAATCCAGCCCAGTTTCAGGGGCATGAGACTTTCACAGAGGCGCAGACCTGGCCTCAGTAGGGCCCCACATTTGGTTTAATGCTTCACAATCATTGTCTTGAAATTCTTAATTTTCCAACAAGGAGCCCTGCATTTCATTCTGCAGAGCGCTGCCAACTGTGTAGCTGGCCTGTTTGGCTCTGATCTCTGCCTTCTTTCCTCTTTGCCCCTATGTTCTTTGTCTCTGGCCTTTCTTCAGGCTACTCTCTGTCCTTTGGGTGCTCATCATAAGTGACTCCTGAAAACTTCAGGAACCTGTAATTGAAGCATTAAGCTAAACTGAAAACCATGTGTCCCTTCCTCAGGTTAACTGCTCTTTCAAACGTTGTGCAGAGAGAAACCTCGGAGATGATCCCTTCATCAGGAATCTGTTTTCTGTGCCACGTAACCCAGTCACAGCTGAAAGGGGAAGAGAAGGGCACTTTCTCCAAAGATACCTCATTCTGGAGGTGACCTTAAAATCAAAAAGCTAAATTCAAAAGCTGTGTTTGAGCAACAGGAATAGTAATCAGCTCAGCTCATCAAATTCTCACTCTTCCAAACGTGGGCAAGGAAGAAGGCAAATGTCAGTCCACGC